ATAGAAAACAGCTGTTTTACATTGTAATAATATTTCAAATTTTTTAGAAAGTGATTTCATTGACATTCATGCATTTGCTGATGCTTTTAGCGAAGTGAGATTATTTGACATCATTTCAGTTCATACTTTCACTGCGAGTCGAACCCATGTCTTTGATTATCAGAGTTTAGACTCAATGGTGAAAGTGATTGCGATGAATAGTCCTCAGTGAAGTCAGCTGGGTGTGCTGTGTTTGTGCAGCGCTCGTGTCAGGACGGAGGCCGTCGGCTCCTGCAGAAAGCTGAGTGGCAGAAGCTGCTGGAATTCGTTCAGGCCGCATGCCGCTACGCCAGTGAGCTCCAGCAGTGGGAGACCAGCACCCATAATGCACTGCGAGAGCACTGCTACGACACGCTAGCGGCGCTCTGTACTGCGGCACTGCAGAAACACGGACCCGCCGCGCGCAGGGCCCGAGAACTGCTGCGCAGGTGAGCAAACACGCACCTAACACGCCGGATTCTGCTGTCACACTTCACAAATCTGCTTTTTACAACAAATCAGCTAAAGAAATATGAAGAAAACACCTTTTGTGTGTTTGTTTGTAGGGATGCATGATTTGGTTCAAAATGTAATTTCTTGTATTAATTCATTTGAGGTTCAATTTAAAAATGTATAGGAGTTGTAATGTGATGTAAATTCATTTGGTGTACTTTAAAACATAAGGCACAAGAATGCGTCACTTTAACGGAAATGACGTGCTTGTTAGTCGCCCTGATGGACTGATGATGAGCGGACGCATCACAAGGCTCTGCTAAGTTAAATACGTTTAAGTTTAAAATCAGTGCTGTCGCAAGCCAAAAGGACAGTAAAGAAGATTTTCATAAACTCAAAGACCTCTATTCATGACAAGCAGCCAATGAGTTCTCACGGCATTGTGGCGTTAAGACGTCAAAGGCACGAAAGACATAAAGAAGACGACCCTAAGAATAAAACGCCCGTTCTAAAGAACCAACCTGTGTCTGTTGTCGTGAAGAGAGCTACACCTTTAATATAATAAAATTTAAATCCTTTAATATTCTTTTATGTGAGTTTGTGAAAATATATCAGAGCTTCATTTATTTTTAGAAAGTCTGAAACTTTGTTTCTCTGTCAAAATATTTATTATCTTAATGTATTTGTCTGTCTTTATCTTCTACCTGTTTGTTTCAATTTTTGCTCCTTGTTTTTAATAGTAACACGCTTCACTATGAAACACACAGAACATATTTATTCATGAAAAATCGCAGCCTTTGTAATTTCATAATCGCACTAAACCAGATCGCAGTTTGCAGCCCTGAGCTTTCACTCTTTCTGATTCTTCTTGTGACTGATGATGAGCGGACGCATCACAAGGCTCTGCTAAGTTAAATACGTTTAAATTTAAAATCAGTGCTGTCGCAAGCCAAAAGGACAGTAAAGAAGATTTTCATAAACTCAAAGACCTCTATTCATGACAAGCAGCCAATGAGTTCTCACGGCATTGTGGCGTTAAGACGTCAAAGGCACGAAAGACATAAAGAAGACGACCCTAAGAATAAAACGCCCGTTCTAAAGAACCAACCTGTGTCTGTTGTCGTGAAGAGAGCTACACCTTTAATATAATAAAATTGAAATCCTTTAATATTCTTTTATGTGAGTTTGTGAAAATATATCAGAGCTTCATTTATTTTTAGAAAGTCTGAAACTTTGTTTCTCTGTCAAAATATTTATTATCTTAATGTATTTGTCTGTCTTTATCTTCTACCTGTTTGTTTCAATTTTTGCTCATTGTTTTTAATAGTAACACGCTTCACTATGAAACACACAGAACATATTTATTCATGAAAAATCGCAGCCTTTGTAATTTCATAATCGCACTAAACCAGATCGCAGTTTGCAGCCCTGAGCTTTCACTCTTTTTTTATTTGTAGGTTCAAAATCAGAAGGTAATCGTGCCGCATCACGCACACCATAAACATCATCACAACACTCAGTGAATTATTCTCTTCAGTGTGCATTTGGTTTAAAATTAAGTGTTTTATAATGGATGCTGGCTGAAGGTGATTTAGATTTTACAGTGGTCAGAGGTTTAGTGAATTATGAGAATTAAAAAGTACTTGTTTATTTAATATAGATATATATATAAAATAAAGGAGGGTGTGTGAGTTCCTGCAGGTCGAGCACTGATAACTTCATCATATGAGATGTTTTCCTGCTGTTCTCAGATCAGTCACAGGGTGGCAGTCATCACATTCACTTCTAGGACTCCAGAAAAACTGCAAATAGTCAAAAGGTTGGAATTCAATTAAATATTTTGGGGGGAAAAACAGTGCTATTTTAGTATAACAATAATGCATTTTATTTGCAATGCACTTTTCTTAAACCCAAAGCGCTACAGTAAAACTAAAACACAAAAAATACAAGAAGAAATTAAAAACAACCTTGAAAAATGTGTCTTAGCTTTTTAAAGTGATCCAGGTTTGGTGAAGTGCTGATATAGAGTCCGTGTTTGCTGTGTTTCAGACCGGATCCAGTGCCAGAGAGTC